GGGAGCATCTGGGTCAGAGAAAAGAGAACAGGTTTTAATTTGGAGGGGTTGGGGGTGACCCTGAAGCCGGTTTTATAGTTCAGTTGGTGCATCCCAAGGTGGGGCCAGCCTGCCCCCCTCCCCAGGCTCCCTTCTTCACCCCTCCCTGCTGTGGAGCAGTGATGCTGGCTCTCCAACTAGAGCATCTGAGGGCTGCCACACCTCCCTCCCGCGCCCCGGGGAGGGCAGGGCGGGCAGGGCACCGGAGTCTGCGGTGCTGAGCAGCCCCTCCCGCCTGCAGCCCAGAGGCCGGAGCTGAGTCTAGTGGCTTATTCCAGGCAGGCCTGGCTGCAGTGCTGCCCCAGCCTGAAGCCCTGGCCCCTTGCCCCTCCTGTTTCCTTTCTCCCATCTCCATTCATACTTCATTTCCCACACATTGCATCAGATTTAATAGGCGCCTCTGGAAGGGAAGACTCGGGGTGGGTTCCTTTTAGATCCTCAAAATATCTTACTCTATCCGTACAGGGGAGTCACCCTTTTTCCTCAGAGCCTGGAGATCTATCTCTTCTTTAGCACCCCGGGAAAGTTTCCAAGAGTAGGGGATTCTTTGGACAAAATTGGAGGAAACAGAGCATCTTCTGACTGTTGTTTATGGTTTGGTGGCTCAGGCCATGAAGTTCTTGTCCCAGGCAGGTCCTCTTTTCTGGAGCTTGCCAGTGAGCCTAGCTGCAGCCTGGGAATTGTGGGGGTGATTCACGTCTCGAGAACGGGAGGAGGGTCTGTTCGCCCTCATTGCCAGGGATATGATGGAGATGATTCCGAAAGAGAAAGAGCGAGGGTGAGTGTCAGCATTACCTTCAGATGGAAATGGCTACTTTCTGTACCCAAGAGGGTTCTAGGTATATTTTTCCTGCAACTATGTTCCCTGCACACTTTTTTGCCACACAACTAATTGGCTCTAAGGCAATTTTGCCCTAGAAGATAAAATAATGGAAAATTAAAAGGGACATTAAAAAAGACATAATGATAATGAAACATGAAAAATTAAGAACAAAGTTTTAAAAACTTTATTGAGAAAAATGAATATACACGTCTTCCATTATACCTTTTCTGCTTGTTGATTGATCCTGTTAGGCATGGCACTTCTTGTTTGCTAAAATTTCTTCTCCCTTCATTGAGAGAGGTATCAATTTGCACTGCCTGGTACACTTTTGGTTATGACAAGAGGGAGGGCTCACAGGGCTCACCCTCTAGATGTTTAAAAAGAATGGCAAACGGATCTGTGACCATTTTCTAGTAGAGTTTGCATGTCTGGCTATACACAGAGCTTTGCAATCTGCTCCATGCGTGGCTGTCATCCACTGTTGTAAAACCACCACGTCTACTGGTCACTCTACAGACCATTATGAGGTTCGAGATTCATATAATGTAAAAATGGGAGTAGCTGCAAGAACTTCATCCATGGAGAAATGAAACCAAACTGACGACTAGCTAAATACATGAAGTCTGCCAGATGTAAACCAGGCTGTCAACCAGTTATTTTATCTTGTTCGGCAAAATTGCCTTATGGCCAATTAGTTGTGCGGCAAAACTGCTTGCACCAAAGATGTTTACGAGGAAACTCCCAGCACAACCCCAGAGCCACCTGCGTTTTAAAGGACCCCTTAGATGTTTATTTAAAAAGAATGGCCTGCGGTCAAGGTCACTGACTTGCCAAAAACCAGATCATTTTTTATCTCCTTGGATGTCATTGTCTTCATCTGTAAGGTGGGGGTCACAGCTGTCCTACCTAGAATTGATATGCCAATGCTTCCACGTGTCATTACAAATTTAGGACACATGGTACAGGACTTTAGGAAGAAAAAAATTCAAATGATTTTATGATCATGTAGAATAACGTGATTTCTTGGCCCTGCAGGAAGGGATGAGAGACTTGCTCTCCCAGTGAGAACATACCTTACCCAGAATCCCCGGAGCCGAATGATTCATTCTGACCTGACAAGAGGCATTGCCTCCCAGGCGCCTGAGTGTTGTGTCTGAGGCAGAGGCAGTGTGAACACTTACAGATGATTCTTTGCCAGTTTCCTAATAAGGTCAGGGGCTAGGCAAGCTCAGCAGATGCAATGAGCTCATATCTCAGAGCTCAGAGCTTAGAGCTCAGAGAGTAGTGTGGGCACCTCTGAATCCACAGCAACTTTCATGGAGAAATAAACTGGGCTCCCAGCTGGGCACTGCTCCCTCGACTTTGTGCCAGCAGCTTAGTGCTTGGCCTCCTGAGTACGTGTCTCTCGAGCACGGGTGGGGAACGTCCGGCCCATGGGCCATATAGGTCTGGCCCTGCCAAGGCAACCACAGGCAGGACTCAATTCAATAAATCTAGGAGCTTTTTTCATAGCTAGTTTTTAAGTTGGTAATTTTGTATGGCCCGTGAATGGTGTTATAAATATCCATATGGCCCCTGGGAGAAAAAAGGTTCCCCACTCCTGCTCTAGAGCAACCTAAAGCAGACAGACCTCATTTTTTCCCCCACATACCCCATGTGTATCAATCTTAAGTGGCTTTTTTCTCATTAGTTGCCTATGTGAGTGGAAGAAGCTCTCCTCTTAGATACCTTGAGGAGAAGTTCAAAGCAAGAAATTCTGACTTAGACTGCTCCTTCTCTAGAGATCCAGGGCTGTGTAGCCTAGGGGTTATAACCTAGCTAATGGTAATTGCTAGTGAAGGCTCCTTGGGATCTTCCATTCTTCTTCTGGCAAGGAAATATGGAGGGGTACATGGGACTTATTGCCTTTCTACTTAAAGGGCTAGATAACAAAGTTCATTAAGCTCAGATCACCTGAGTGTCCTATACTGGACCCCGGGCATCTTTCATCTAAGATTTCCAAGCACCATTTCTGTCTATAATTCCACTCCTTTATCACTTTTTTAGGATGATATGAAAAGGTGGGGCTGATTCTTCCCCCAGGTTAGGGTGGGAGGAACTGAGCCCCCAGAAGACTGCTTGCCCAAAGGGTACCTGGGAAGATGGTCAGTCTGGTTCTGGATCTGCTGTTGGTTACTCAGTAAAAAGTGTAGCTGGATGCCCACCGTGTGCGGGTGCCCCTCGAGGCGCTGGGGAGAAGGCAGAGAACAGGAGTGAAACCTCCGCCCTCACGAGCGAGCACTGTAGTGGGTAGAGGCAGAGAAGTAAAATCTGACCTCCAGCTTAGCACGGTCAGCACTGTTCTCAGCACCCTCCCAAAGCCTAAGGAGTTCTATGGAAGGATCGAGATGGGCTTCCCGCTGCTGTAGCCCTTCCCACTGCTTCGGAACAGGCTTGGGGAGAAGCTGAACTGGAGAGAAGACTCTGTGGCCCTGCTTATCTCCATGCCAGTCTGAATAAAGGGATCTGGACACACTGCCTCCAGTTTTGTCCAGACCTCCTTGTTTCCAGGATTCTCTGATAGTATCGAAAAATAAAGGGAGTGAGATATTAAAAATAACAACAACGACAAAACAAAGCCCTGCTTGCTCAACCCTGTGTAAGTCAGAGTAGCTCTAAAAATCTGTGACAGAAGGAGGAGGCAGAAGGCCCACTGGGAAAGCGGGTCTGTGATCACCTCTACCCCAGGGGATCCTGCTGAGAGCAGGATTGATTGGAATCAGCAAGAACTTTGGCCACATGTGATTTTTGGAAAAGTAATTGATAAAAGAGTCAAGTCCTTATCTAATAGTTCTTGTGCCTTGTTCACCTTCTAGAAGCGAGGGTGTCATCTATTTATTAGAGAGAGACTACCCAGAGCTCCTTGCTACCCCCTGGTAATGGGACTCGGGCCAGGGGCAACAGTTCACCCTCGGCTGCCCCTCCCCTGCCCCCGTGTTCTGGTGCTGCATTCAGGAGGAGCCCCTTCACATTTCAGTGGCTGACGTGTGGCAATGGGTCCTGCATGGCACATAGAAGCCACTCTCTGAAGCTGAAGCAGAGAACAGGGCTCAGGATAAGCCTTCTTCTCACGGTCAGCCTTCCACCTTCTCACCTACACATAGCTCCTCTCCTCCACCTAGTCAGCCACCCAGTCAGCATATGCGAGAGGTGACGCGCCTTTGGAGGGAGGAATGCTGAAGGAGACCCTCTGGTGCTCACTCCTTCAGAGGCTGACTTTGTTCCCCTGCTGACATGGCTGTGGCCCTAGGCTCTATCTGAATCAAAAGCTGTCTTATCCCTCCCACCCCGGAGAAACTAACACTCATAGGCTTTAAACTCACTATCTTTTCCCTCAGAGGCCCTTCTGCCCCTTACGTAAAAAGGTTCCACCCTCTTTCACCAACTGCCTGAGCATTTTACTCTCCCCTTTGCTCCAAAAGCTTTGAGGAGGGAGGCGCTTAGCTCCAAGACCTGACCCTCCGGGCCTGACCTGCTGACAACTGCAGCAAGCTGCACAGCTTCTGTCCAGCTGGAGGCTGAGTACTCGAAGGGGCTTAGAGGATTTGGGGAGGCTGAGTACTCTAAGGGGCTTAGAGGATTTGGGCATCTTCCATCAGGCTGTCCTCCTGGTTTGTAAATGTATGTGTTGGGAGTAGGGAAGGGTATGGAGCGTGGGGGAGAGTGACAGACTGGCAGGCCATCCTCCAAAGCACTCCTTTCCAGACCTCTTCTCACCTCATAGAAGTGAGGTCAAGATGAAAGAATTGTGTAGAGTTCCCACAAATAGGGAGAACATCAGAGCCATGAGCGGTCATACCTTTATTTCCAAGTTTCTGAAGTTGTGGGATTTGTGTTGCTTGGTCTGGGAGAGATGAGCTATGAAGACGGGTGTATCTCAAATTACTTCCCTTCACTGGACTTTCCAGGCTGCCGGGGCCTCTGAGGGCCTCTCCTGAATTAGTTCACTTAGCTCAGAACTCGGCCATCAGCTGAGGCCGGGCACCAACTGCCACCTAAACCCTTGCGCTAGAATGAGTATCTCTTGCCTTTGCAGGTGCTGGATCACCATGGCTGCTCTAATTGTTTCTTTTTGTCTCCCTTTGAATCTTTATTCCAGAGATCCAGTTGCCACTGGCACCCCGGGAGCCCTCCTCCTTCTCCTGCTGCCTCTCTACCACAGCAGTTGCCCGTCGTTGCTAAGGCTGCTTCCATGGTAACATGCACACGCCGTTTACACTTCCATCTGGGCAAGTTGGTCTAAGCTAGGAACCTATCTACCCTGGACGACCACTTCCATCGCCACCTGGGGACGCCAATCATCGCGACACGTGGTCCGGCTTCCACTCGGTTCCCCCGCCCTCTTCCTCTTCTGGCTGCCAAGCTTCACAAGGACAAGGGGTCTGGGCTTGAGGCCCTGGAGCTATTGCACGAGAGATAGTGAACCAGGTTCCTGAATGGGCTCCCACAGAAGCAAGGAATAAGAAGTAGGCAGAGAAGCAAGAGACCCTGGTCAGTCGGAGGGAAGCTCCCCATTTTCTCTGACTGAGGGGGCCTGAGGGGCTTGGCAACCGCGGGCAAAATGACAAACCCAACAGAACATGCCTTGCCGGCCAACTCGGTTGAGGGCCATGAGGGGGACTTTGGCTGCTCAGTAATGGACCTCAGGAAGCTCATGGAGCTGCGTTCGGCCGATGCAATAAACCACATCAGCGCCAGCTATGGAGGCGTAATGAATCTCTGCAGTAGACTGAAAACCAACCCTGTGGAAGGTAAAGGCCGTACCAGGAGTGGGGATTGGAGGAAGGTGGCTAGTGTTAAAAAATATTGCGTTTCCAGCTTCCAGAAGAAGCATCCGGAGCCCTGACTGGTATATCTGTGTCTAGTGGGAAAAGTACGGTATATGAAGCACTAAAAGGTGGTGAGGCCACAGAGAACCATTTCCCCCCTTTGTCGTGTCCCCACACACACACACAATGTTTAGGGACTGTGCTATTATTCTCTGAAAATCATTCTTTCCTACTTTTTCTGTATCAATGTACAGAAAGGAGAGTGTTTATCTCTATATTGGAAACATTTATGTTAGAGATGCTTTTATCACTAAATGATCACCAAGTGCCTTATTCTGTATTAGTGTTTGATTGCAACAGGTTTAAGATGTAATTTTCCCCACAGCTGATCTTACAGTGTAATTGGGGAAGATAGGCACAGTGAAAAGAGTAAGTCCTTCTACCCGATGTAGCACTTCTCTAATGTATACAGTTTAAAATAAGGTGGTACGTCATAAGGTATATAATTATAATTGTACCCACCAGATATTTGGATTACTCCTGTTTCCCGTCATGGAATTATTGATGACTTTTTCAACCCTGCTTGATACACTTTTAATATAGCTCTTCTTAATCTATACTTAAAAGAAACTGAAACATCCAGCTTTACGCTTGCCTGGCCCAGCCCAGTTGTCCAGTGAGCCATGGTAATATGAAATTTTGCCTCACCAAAATGGAGAGAGAACAAAATGAAGTTGCTTCCTCACTTCTGCCTGGTTTCAGCGTCTATGTTACAGATTCTTGTTTGGTCCTGTGGGTCAGGCAGGCCATGGTTGAGTACCATGAGAGAAATAAAAATCTTGTCCTTTAGATGCCTTCAGTCTCTTGAGGTATACTATTTCTGAACCTTCCATGGATGCCACATCATATTTCTTGCCAATTCTAAGGACTCTTTAGGATTTTTTTAAAAAGGGGAAGGTGGAGATTTTTATCTAGATATCTGTTTATCGCGCAAGCTTTGCTTTCTTTGCAATCTGAGAGAGCTGCTCTACATGTTCTTTTTACTTCTGGAATTCAGTTTCCTATCTTATAGGCTTTGATTCAAATATTAGCCCTACCATTTACTAGCTAAATAACGTTGAACAGTTTACTAGGCCCTATGAGTCTGTTTCTTTGAAAATTCTGTTAATATCTAGCCCATAGAGTGGTTGGGATTAAATACTATAATGTATGTGCAGCGCTCAAATTTATAATGGGGATTCAATAGCTATCTAGATTAAAATGGAGCATATGAGCCCTAGCCGGTTTGGCTCAATGGTTAGAGCGTCAGCCCAAAGACTGTAGGGTCTCGGGTTTGATTCCAGTCAAGGGCGTGTGCCTCGGTTGCAGGCTCAATCTCCAGCCCAGGTCAGGGCTCATGCAGGAGGCAACCAATTGATGTGTCTCTCTCACATTGACGTTTCTCTCTCCCTTCCACTCTTCTCTGAAAAGCAATGGAAAAAATATCCTCTGGTGAGGATTAAAAAAAAAAAATTTTTTAAAAAAAAAGGAGCACATGAGTCTGAAGATACTTGCCAGAATATGAGTGCCTAAGGAGTGCAAGGTGTTATTATATCTCCAGAGGTTACTGCATGTGTAGCTGCACCCACTATCCACCTCTTCCATTCACCTCTTGATGTCAAAAAGAGATCTGGTTGGGGGTGGAGGGCAGCAAAAAGAAAAAAGATCTGGTTGAGTTGGCAGAGCTTAGTTGCTTTCATGTGGCTCAGTCTTATCAGCTAAATTTCTTTATTCCACCACTCTTGTAGTAGTATTGACCTTAAAGAGAGGCTTTTCCTGTTAGGTTTTTCCGGAGATAATGCACCCATCGTTATTTAGACAGGATCTCTTTTTTTCCCCTTTCCATCCTGTTCTTGATCCCTTTGGTCAGTTGTTTCTCTGGCAAAGTGAAACTCAAGGGTCCAAATAAGCTGCAACCTTGGAAGCTCCTAATAGGAGGGTCCAGACTTTCCTCCCCAATTTCCAAATCCTTTCTCATAGCTGCTACTGTTTACTTTCTGATTCCTAGAGAGCTTCCATTCCCGAAGGCCAACAGATATTCTACTTTAGTGTCAACCTCAGGTATCAAATGTTACAGATGGAGTTAATGCTCTGAGATTCTTTCCCAGCCCAGTTTCAGGCTGATAGTTGAAAGTCTCTTCGGATAGCAGGTGCTTCTGTTGCCACAGACCCTGGCCATGCCTAGATCCCACTACCTCTACCATTGGCACAGGTGTCCACCCCCGCTTCCTAGGCCACAAATATGTATCCTGATTTGTTTCAGTGTAAGACTTATCATGGTGCTGGTACTTGAGCTGGGGAGTTAGGGTGTCAGAAAACAACTTCTCCATGAGTAATTTTTAGCCCCCCAGTGTCAGCAATGACCTCCTCCTGTGTGAGAGGAATAGAGGGGTAGGAAAAAGAGACACCAAAGAGCTATGACACAGGAGTCTCTCCCCAGACAGGGGCCAAGCTATTTAGAAGACCACACTGAAGTGCCTAACACCCTAGCATAGTTTTGCCACCTGTGGGAGTTTCCTGCAGACTAATAATATGAATAAAGAAACTTACTTGGTGCTTGAATTCTCTTGGTTGGAAACCAAGATGAAGTAAGATTGGGAAGATGGATTCCTAGAATATGACTCTTCAGAAGACCCTTATTTTTTGTTGATTGACAGCATCTGTAGTATAGATGGACAGATTTTTTTTAACCATAGTTCTTAAGGGGCCTCATGAAACTTGAAGTTTATAACATTTTTGACACTAACCTTTTTTATGTTTTTAAATTTTATCTTTCAGTTAGTTTACATTTAATATTATTTTATACTAGTTTCAGGTGTACAGCATAGTGGTTAGACAATCATGTACTTTACAAAGTGCTCCCCCTGATATTTTCAGTACCCACCTGACACCATACATAATTATCATAACATTATTGACTACATTCCCTGTGCTGTACTTTACATCCCCATGACTGTTTTGTAACTACCAGTTAGTACTTCTCAATCCCTTTGCCTTTTTCACCCATTTCCCCAACCTCCTCCCCCACTCTGGCAACCGTCAGTCTGTTCTCTGTATTTATGAGTCTGTTTCAATTTTGTTAGTTCATTTATTTGATTTGGATACCACATATAAGTGAAATTATATAATATTTGTCTTTCTCTGACTGACTTATTTCACTTAGCATGGTGCCCTCTAGATCCATCCATGTTATTGCAAATAGTAATATTTCATTCCATTTTCTGACCAAGCAGTATCCCATGGTGTAAATGTGCCACAGCTTTTTATCCACTCATCACTGATGGGCACTTGGGCTCCTTCCATATCTCAGCTAATGTAAATAATGCTGCAGTGAAAATAGGGGTGCATATATTGTTTCAAATTAGTGTTTTGGGTTTCTTTGGATATATATGCCCAGAAGTGGGATCTCTGGGTCATCAGGCAGCTCCATTTTTAATTTTTTGATGAACCTCCATACTGTTTTCCATAATAGCTGCACCAATCTGCATTTCCACCAACAGTGCACAAGGGTTGCCTTTTCTCCACACCCTTGCCAACGTTCGTTGTTTGTTGATTTGTTGATGGGAACCATTCTGCCAAGTGTGAGGTGATTTCTCATTGTGGTTTTAATTTGCATTTCTCTGATGATTAATGACTTGAGCATTTTGTCATGTCTCTTGGCCATCTGTATGTCCTCTTTGGAGAAGTGTCTATTCAGGTCCTCTGCCCACTTTTTAAGTGGATTGTTTGTTTTTTGGTGTTGAGTTCTTTGCAGATTTTAGATATTAACCTCTTATTGGCCATATCATTGGTAAATATCTTCTTCCATTCAGTAGGTTGTTTTTTCACTTTTTTGATGCTTTCCTTTGCTGTGCAAAAACTTTTACTTGATGTAGTCCCATTTGTTTATTTTTTCTTTTGTTTCCCTTGCCCAAGGAGATATATCAGAAAAAATATTGCTAAGAGAAATGTCATAGATTTTACTGCTGTGTTTTCTTCTAGGATTTTTATGGTTTCGAGTCTTACATTTAAGTCTTTAATCCAGTTTGAATTTATTCTTGTGTATGGTTGTAAGAAGGTGGTCTGTTTTCATTTTTTACATGTGTCTGTCCAGTTTTCCCAACACCATTTACTGAGCAGACTGTCTTTACCACATTGTATGTTCTTGCTTCCTTGTCAAATATTAATTGACCATATAAGCGCGGGTTTATTTCTGGGCTTTCTAGTCTGTTCCATTGATCTATGTGTCTGTTTTAATGCCAGTACCATGCTGTTTTGATTACTATGGCCTCGTAGTATAGTTTGATATCAGGTAGTGTGATCCCTCCAACTTTGTTCTTTCTCAAGATTGATATGGCTATTTGCAGTCTTTTGTGTTTCTATATAAATTTTTGGATTTTTTTGTTCTAGTTCTGTGAAAATATCATTGGTATTTTGATAGGAATTGTGTTGAATCTATAGATTGCTTTGGATAGTATGGACATTTTAATGATGTTAATTCTTCCTATACATGAACACAATGTATGCTTCCATCTATTTGTATCTTCTTAAATTTCTTCCTCTTGTCTGATTGCTGTAGCTAGGACTTCCAGTACTATGCTGAATAAGAGTGGTGAAAGTAGACATCCATTCTTTTTTTCCTGATCTTAAGGGAAACACTTTTAGCTTTTCCCCATTGAGTATGATGCTAGCTGTGGGTTTGTCATATGTGGCCTTTATTATGCTGAGGTATGTTCCCTTTATTCCCACTTTGCTGAGAGTTTTTATCGTAAATGGGTGCTGGATTTTGTCAAATGCTTTTTCTGCACCTATTGATATGATATATGATTTTATATATTTCATTTTGTTTATGTGGTGTATTATGTTAATTGATTTTCAAATATTGTACAAACCTTGCATCCCAGGAATAAATCCCACTTGATCATCGCGTATGATCTTTTTAATGTATTGCTGAATTTGATTTG